GGCAGTGGTGATTATCAGGTAATTATACAATTAAACATTTGATGACAAAGGATCTCTGAACCAACATTCTCATAGCCTGTCCATTCTTAACTGAGACAGGTCCAGATCATACTTCAAACGCTCCACTCAAAAACAGACTTCCAAATGGCTAACTTGTGTATCTGCAGGTTCACGCACGTGCAACACAGTTTGTGGTGTGACAAGAGTAAGCGGGACAGAAGGGAACATCTGGGTTTGGGTCTCAGACCTGACACACAGTGCTCCTTGGGAAAGTAATACCCCCCTTCCACTTCTGTCGGACCTCATCCACTTGCAGAACCACAGCTAACGCACTAGGAGACGACTCCTGGCATACCACCTGGCAGGCAGGGGTTCTCTTAGTTCTGTGAAACCTCCCTTACAACCTGATTTCACTGTCTCCTGTCCACCTTTAGCTGCCAAAACAGTAATTGGTCCCATTTCACATATTCAATATTCATGTACAAAACAATTTATGTCAGCAGTTTGCCTATCAGAATTGACGAAATACTTAGGGGCTGAAGGTCTGGGAGGGAAGGTAGTTCTTTCTTTAATATCTTTCGTGGGCTCCTCTAAGACGCTGTTGACAATGGGCTTGCTCTCCAGGAGCACACATGGCAGGCTGTTGGCGGCAGAGGCCATGAAAGCGTTTCACACCATCAAACGGTGCTGCAGGTAGACGGGTTACTGGCACACTTGGGATGCTTTGTCCCATCTGCCCTCTCCAGTTGCTGCCAATAAACATTACTTCCCAGCCTGCTGTATGCCAGCACGATGCAATCTCCAGAAGAGCCAAAGATGTCTAAGAACTTGGGCCCTGCCTTCCCAGCAGCCTTCATGTGATAGGAAGACAGAAACTAAAATTGAACAACATTCTTGAAGGAGGGCAGACAGGGTCCTACTCTGCCAATCTGCAACTGGGCTCAGGCTTCTCAGCGGGAAATGAAGAAATGGAATAGATTTTCTCTAATGTCTATCATGGCTCTGTCTATTAATAAATTACCTCTTGAAACATAGGTCTCCAAATGTTACTTAATAATGTGTTATTAAAAGGATTTTCTTCTATATGGAAGAGAATGGTTGCCATTTCAATCCCCACGACAGTGAGCGTTCATGATTCTGCATCCTTTTCTCTCACACAGGAAACAGGTTATTTCTAGGGTGGAATTACAGAACAAAGGACGCATGTCAACTGTGCTCAACTAGGGGCTGAGGGGGCAGTCGGCAGGATGCTGTTACAAGTGGCAGCTCAGGAAAGGCAGGGTCAAGAAAGGAAGAAGAATAGAATGTCAAGTTAGTCTTGGTTTCATTTCAAACAAGGATAAAAGGCCTAGTCAACCTCATCAGCCCTTGAAAGAACCTCATGCCAAACCACCCCGAGACATGGGTCTGGGGGTAGGTAGCCTTTTCAGATTTCCAGAAGGTGAAATTGTGCTCAGTATCCTCTGTTTGACATGCTCTCCAAATGTAACATTAAAATGTTCTGTATTGTCTAGTTGGCCAAGCCCTTAGCTATCCACACACCACGAAGCTGTTACCCCATCTTCCTAGGCGCACAGTGGGAGGCTTCCACTTGTTTAAATTTAGTAAATGCCAAAGCCCAGCTGCTTCCCTCATGCAAGTGAACATTCAAATGCCCAAGATGGTGCCTGTGTAGTGAAGCCCAGACAGCCACAGGTGAAGGTCAGGTGTCCCTGTTCCCTCACAATGGCCAGCCCGGAAGTGGATCTGTAATTCTCTCACCTTCAACAACATTTACTTCTTAGCCCCCTCTACCCAGGACTTTAATTTTAACCAACAAACAAGCTAAACTTAAGTTAGCTTTCTCAAAACTTATATTTGTATTAAAATATCCAGCTAACTTGAGAAGATGGCCAAAGAAATTTAAGCCATTCTGAGTATTGAAAATGTCCTTTGTGTTTCTTCCTGCCTAGTTTTTCTTCAGAAGTCAGTGCTAGCCCTGAAGAGCTATGTAAGTGATCTTCAGGGTTATGGCCAGGACTCAAAAAATCTTTTAGTCTACAGCCCTGAACCACGAGCTCTATGAGTTTCCAAAGTGTGAAATATCAGCAAACTGATCTTCAACCTTACTTTCGTTTAAACAGCTAGTGAGCCTGTATGCACAAGTCTTGGCTTTCGAGTTTCTGTGAGAATGTGCTTTCTCCATTAGCATGCTCTAGAGACTAGCAAGGCACAGGCTGTCAATGGAGAAACAGATGAGTGAAGGAAGATACTCACAGAAGCAGTGCTTGGGAGCGTTCTCCTCCCTCCCCCACCCCCCACCCCCCCACCCCAGTGCAGAGTGACCACCTTTTCTTAAGCCACACTGCTTTTCAAGTCACTGTATATATAGTAATGGGCCCAGGAAGTCAGGAAGATGAATTCTATCCATCAACCCATGAGCTCCTCCCTGTACCTTCCTAAGATGCATCCTAGCAGCTCTGAAGCAAGGCAGGAGCGTGCTGAGCATAGGTATCATTCCCTCTCACCTCTCAACCAAAACATCTTCATCTCTTTACACCCCCGTTACACATTCTCCATCAGCAGATCCATATGTACAAAACAATAACGATACACTTACTAATCACCAGAGAAGCCTAAATCGGAAAGACAAAATTCACAGTTATAGTTTTTGAAGTTACAGTCAATCTCCCCAGAGTGGGGTTAAAAAAAATAGTTGGGTTAAATGAATCAGCTGAAGCCCTAAGAAAGTCAAAACAGATTGCGAGGTGTGTGATTTATACTTCTATTGTTATTTCATAAAATGAAGTCATTCTATAAAACTCCCCATAATTGGGAGGCTCAAAAGATCCCATGTGTGATTTTAGACTTAACATGTAAATGATTTACACTGCTTGCTTGGGGCTGTCTTTATTAGTTACCATTTGGGAGAAGGAGATTGTTTGCCTGCTGTTTGCAAAATGCTCAAGGAAAGCAATGCATGTTATTGTTAAAACAAACAAACCTAAAGAAAACAACTCTTCCGGAACACGGACCTAAATAATGGGTGAACACAGAGGAAGACTAAAGGGATTTTTTATTAACACAGAGCAAAGTCTTCGGTTACTGAACTTTGGGCATTATAGAGAACAACTACCTCCCCTGTGGATCAGGTAGTTCCACAATCAAAAGAGCAAGAGTGGTGTGTTTATTCAACACATCTACTATAGGAAGAAAATCCTCTGCGCCCACAGAGAAGTACTGAGTCCTTTCTAAGATCTGCAATCAAATAGATGGAAACCAGATCTTCCAATCCAGCTCAGGATGAAGGTCTAACTACACAAGAGTCTGTTTTAAGAGAATGGAGACACGGCTCAGTGGTTAAGAGCAAAGGACCTGGGTTAAGTCCCAACACACACATGATGGCTCACAACCATCTGTAACTCCATTTTTAAGGGATCTGATGCTTTCTTCTGATCTCCATGGTACACATGGTGCACATACATACATGCAGGCAAAATTCCCATTCACTTAATTTTTTCACAGAAAAAAAAATAAAAACAAAACAAGGGTACTTCGGTGTTTGAGGTTGTTTTTAATGGTGGGGATCATTATGGAATCTGAATAAAGCATTGAATGTTTCTATTAAGTTTTATCTTGCCTGTCCCAATCCATGAAATTATCTACACCTCCTGCTTAGCAACACATGTGAATCAAGTCATTGGTGAGGTCTGGGACAGAACAACTTCTTATTTATATGAGGCCCTGGGCTCAGTATCAACACTTCCAAAGAGAAAAAGAAAAAAAGTACCCTTGGCAAACTAGTTAGTACTTAAAGGGATAATGACAAGAAAGGTCTACTAAGGGTCAGCTAGGCGGCTCAGTGAGTAAAGGGGCTTGCCACCAAGCCTGACAACCTCAGTTCAATTCCCAGAATACATGGTAGAAGATGATAACACCCACAAGTTGTCCTGATTTCTGCTGCCACATACGCACGTGTATACACACATACGCACACACAAGAAAACATTGATAAATGTGTCACCATAAAGAGGCCTGGATGCATTTGCCCTGGAGAGGTCTTGACATTGCCTCAACTGTTTAAAAGCACTGAGGCAGCAGCCCATCAGAATCCAGTAGGTGTTCTCCTTAAATGTGAGAGGTGGAAGAGTCAACAGAGCGAGGCAGCCTTCAGTCAGAGCAGAGCCATCTCCCAACACGGGGAATATGCCGTGGGCTCAACAAACACGCCCTTCTGCCATCAGGGGCTGGTCAAGCATATCTAGCCACTCCAACTCATAGAAAAGGCACTGAACTACTCGATCTGTATAAACCTAGACTCCAGGCAACTAACTACAACAATATTTCTGTGGATAAGGAAGATTTCTAAGTTCTGTAATATTAGTAACACATCCAAAAGAAAACCCCAAAGGTCTACAGACAGAAAAGGAAGAAATCAGATCTTTGCAAAGGAAGAAATAGCTTATCTATTATCCACAACTGCACACAGGAAAATCTCTTTATAATAGGCGTCATGGAAACAACATGGCCAGCCCAAACTTAGCAGAATTTGCAGAGACACCTGTCCTGCTATTTTCCATATATCTGGCCTGATATATGGTGTGTGCTGGTGACCTACAAGGTACACACTGCCCGATCCATCACTCTTATGGTTGTCTTGCTTAGAACTGAACACACAGTGGGCATCCAATAAACATTTTCTGGAGGCCCTTCATCTCCTATTAGGTTAGTCCCCTCTTATGCCACGGCCTTGATTCAATACAGAAGTTGATTACACACACCACTGTTGTAGTGAACTCATATAGTAAAAATGTTCTGGGCAGGTGACTACAAATTGCTGCTGATTTAGTGGCAACTAGGGGACCCAGATAACTGTTAATGTCTGGGGCATTTCTCATTAGGAATGCTAAGTGCTTATAGGAAACCCAAACAACCCCTTTAAATGGGAAATAAAAAGAGAGCGATCAGATGGCACAGCACACTATTAGTGACATTTCTCTTCTTTCCCTTTCTCTCCATAGGACTGTGTAAAGAACCAGACCAAAGCGTTTCAGCACAGAGCTCTTGCAGCTGCCTATGACTACGTCATACACAAGTTCCCCCATAACCCATCTTTGGCTGCCAATCTAAAGAGGTCTGTCTTTGGTGTGAGCTTGTCCTTGGCTCTCCCATCAGTGTCCCAGGGTCAGACCTTCTGAATTCTTGCTTTTCACTCTCCCACCCAGCAGCAGCAGACGCCGGAAGTTCTCTGTGTACTGTTTTTATGTCAGAATCGTGGCAGACAAACCTGGAAAAACCCTCATGAGATCCTAGAGAGAAAGAAATCTATTCTTCAGTATATGACTGCTGTTGGGGCTGGAGGAAAGCTACGGTATTAAAAGGAAGTGAGAACCCAAGCCAGACACCAGCAAGAGCCTACAGAGAGAATGGCATGGATTGTAAACGTCAAAGGTCCTTTATCATATCTAACACAGCATGGAAGAGAGGCATAGAGTGCATCCAAATAAACACTGTTTGCATCCATGAGGCCTTCAGAGATGAAGAGCACTTCCTCCTCAGACCATATCACATGCTCAAGTTCAAATCCCAAGTGTGGGCAGTAGGACACATGTACACATAACTACTTTATGTATTTTAAAACTTTTTATTCTTTGTGTTTTTTCACATCATGAATCTCGATCTCATTCATTTCCTGTCCCATCATATCCATCCTTTGCTTTTGCAACCCCCCCAAAAAAAATTTAAGAGAAAAAAAGGAGGGAAATATCATGGAAGCTGTAGTGTAACATAGTCACACAGTAAACCCTTTTATCCGTAATCTTTACTTGCAAGTGTTCACTGCAAACACTCATTGGTCTGGCTCAAGGACTCTGGTTTCTGCTGCACTCACTATCCATGCTGGGCCCTCACTGGGACTCCTCTTGGCTGTCCTGCTGTTGCCCGGTATGGTGGAGATCCTGCAGCTTTGGGGTCTGCAGGACCAGCCTCTTCATGTGCTCCAGCAGATCATAGATGGGATGGATGTTGGGGTGGGCCAACTCATAATCCAGGTTCTGGGCCTGGGTAGTTGCAGGGTTGGTCAGCCCGCCAGCTCTCCCCTGTCTTCACCACCAGAGTGAGCTCTCCAGCATTGCCCTGGCTAGCTCACACCTGACAGTGATGAGTAAGGGGTGGGACTATTTCTCCTGCTTTCAGGTCGGCAGGGTTGGTTCTTCCACACGTGGACCATCAGGGCCAGCTCTACTGTGTTGCCCAGGTGGAGGTGTAAGAGCCACTGTCCCAAGCACTGCAACTGGTGAGGGGCAGGAACAGCTCTCCCACTCTTACAACCTCAGGTTCAGTTCTCCCACTGACCACAGGTGGCAAAGGGGTGGGGAGAGATGCTCTCTTCCCAGCCACACCACCATATGGCAGATGAGGGACTGGGCCAGATCTCCCATGCTCACGTTCTCTGGGTGATTCACCCACACCTCTGTCAAGAGGGTCAGCTCTACTGTGCTGCCCAGGCGAGGTGTAGGGTCCACTTTCCCAAGTGCTGTAGCTGGTGAGGTGGAAAATCCGTTCCCTCACCCACCACAGGTAGCAGGGGCAAAGGGGGAGGGCATCCTTACCTCATCCTCACCGTCACATGTTAGACTGTGTGTGTGTGTGTGTGTGTGTGTGTGTGTGTGTGTGTGTGTGTGTGTGTCCGTGTCCCCGAATCGACTACTTTAAATCTCTCAGAGTGTTAGGGGCCCATCAGTAAAGACACACTTCCTAACCCAGACATTACTTGACAGGAGTCAAGGAACTCGTTCAGGAGAAGGTTTCCACCTGAAATTCGCGTAGCTTTTCCAAAGGAGGACATAGTAGATGACAAAGTTAGATGACTATAAAATGACCTACTTTCAGGTGTCTTTCTGTGTCCTAACAACAGCAATCCTCACAGGGCCAGCCCTAAAAGTGAGGTATTTAAATAAAAAATGCTGATGGGGAGAGTTTAAAAAATTCATTTCATTCATCATAAAAAGTGTATTCTTCCATTAGTTAATAATAAAAATGTACTCAACCAACAAAAAAGCTCTCAAGATTATTCAACCAGCTTTAACCTAAAGTCAAGATGCGCACATTGAACCTGCTGCTAGCCATTCCAAAAGAAATTTCTGCACACACAGGGAAAAATGTCATTTGAAGGCTATGCAAGCATATTATAGGGGGAGAAGTGGGTGGAAGTGGATGGTTTCCCATTCAGTTTAGAAGCTCAAGACAGTCTAATTAAGTCTGCAAACTTGGTATACCATTGATCTCTACTGGACCCTTTGACATTGATGGAAGAAACCACTTAACCCAAAACTGACACACTTCACATAAAGTAAAAGTGCATGTTTACTTTTTCTTTGTTTTTGAAATTAAAGGGGCAGCCCCTTCTTAGTGTATAAACTACAACACCACTTCCTCAAATGGTGTAAGAGGCAACTGAAGAGAGAAGTTTGGTTTCATTGTGACCTGATGAAGGGGAATTATGTGGCAGGGAGCATGTTTCAGTTAGCGTTCATGGTCGACCTTCAGTCTAACACCTCGCAGATGGGGGCCTGGGGGTAAGGCTCCTAAAGTATCTGTGCCAGATACAAGCTTGGAGAGCTTAGTCCAATGACCTCATTTTAGAGATGAGGAATCAAAACCCAGGAGGTCGAGTCACATGTCAAAGGTCACAGCCAATAGCTATTTGGAAAGCCCTCTTTGGGGATCCTGGTGGCTGGAAAGCAGGTTAAGCAGGGTCATGCCCTCTGCTGACCCCTGCCCTCTCCTGACCCCTGCTGGCTGGGGTCCTGGCACAATGGCCAGTGTCCTATCAGTGCAAGTCTGCCCTTGGCAACCTGAATGTACAGCAGGAGACAAGCCGGAAGCAGAGCAAGGGCTGCACTTTCTGCACTGGTCATACATGCCTGCCTGCCCTGTGTCTCCATGTCCTCAGTGAAGAAGCACAGACACCAAAGAAGCCATCCCTCACTGCTTGGGACAAATATTTGTAAGCTCTCTATTTTCAAGAGAAATGAAATCCGAATTAACTCAGTCCCCAAACTCGGCCTGTATTTCCCTGCGATCTCTTTGCATGTTTTTCTACATGAATCACAGCCTCTTAGATCTAGAGGGGATATTATAAAAGTCAAATCCATCTGGGTAAAAATAAAAAGCTTACATATTTAGAGTTGTTTAGACACTGAAAACAGCTGGTGAGATATACAGGACAAAAATGCTTCTGTAGCTAATTCTGAGGAAGCTGGGGGAAGAGGAGACAGACTTCTCCCTTGTAAAACTGTACAGAGCAATTTTTGCTGGTCTATACAACTTCTACATCCCATAAGGATCCACACTTTGTGGAGCTTGACCTAATCCTCACTCTAGCCTGGACGACCCTCTCTTTAAGCCTAGAAACTACCCCCTAAAGCCAAAAGGCCAGTCCCATCAGTGACTTCCAACCCAGTACCCTCTCCCAAACCCTACCCTGGATTCTTCCTCCCCACATTAGACTCCTTCCTTCACCTACCTCAGGGGCCGAAGTCTTAGGGGCCCTTCCATAAATCTTCAAGATTTATGGAAGGCAAGTTGCACAGTCAGTAATACTTTATATACACTTGAGCATCAGGTTTATTGAGCACATAAAGCCAAAGATATCTATTCATTTGCTCACTCGCATTCACTCAGTGAGCTCCTTAGAAGGCAGACTCCTTAATGTCTGTGGCTATGGACATGTGCTATGCCAGGAATAGGGGAGACATGAGGAACTCAGTAACCACCTTAGTGCCAGGAATTATTCCGTATTTTATCTACATGTGCTATGCCGGGCACAGGGAAGACATGAGGGGCTAAGAAACTATCTTGTACCAGGAATGATTCTAGCCCTAAAGATGAACCTGTCAGCTAAGCAGGCACAATTGAGCTCACTCACCTTACATTCTACTGATGAGATATGACTAGATTTACTCACAGGCCCCCACTGATCTGCAGAAAATCTAAACATGGCAAATGGTATGTAAGACAATTCCTGATCCCAGCCCCCATACCCCACCTTTCTCACAGCTTACCAACTGTCATGTCACACTTGGGGTATGTGAGTCCCTCTGGTTCCTCGAACCCACACTTTCTAGTGATTTCAGACTGTTCCACTGCCCACGACACTCTTCCTTGACACAGCCCGCAGTATTCTTTCAGAGTCCCTGAGCAGGCTATCCTCACTCTGCAAATGTCTGTCCCTTTGTAGATTCAATATACCTCACCATATCAGAAGCTTCGTATCAAGTCTCTGTCCCTTGTCTCTCCCTTATGTCTGGCACAGCCACCAGCCCACAACCACCAACATTAAGGGGTGTGTTGTCTAAGGAGCTCAGTAAATAATTACACTTACAAATCCAGGATCCTGTGAGGTAGACCACAGGCTGAAGATGTTGCTGACATGAGACACTGGGAACCACACCACATATCATAACTAAGGCTGTGCCCATAGCCCCATACCCAACTGCCCCCCCCCACTTCGAGCACACTCCAGTAATGAGCACGGGTCTCTGTCCCTGAAAGGTTGGTATTAGTAAGCATGTGATATTGGTTTGGTTTGTTTGCTTTGGTTTGGGCTTGTTTTAATTTTTACTTTTGACATTTATTCAGAGCACATTTGTGAAGGGGAGGGGTGTGTGTGAGCACACAAACATGTACCTATGTGCATGCATGCCACAACACATCTGTAGAAGCCAGAGGACAGAGGACAGAGGACAGAGGACAGCCTGTGGGAGTCAGTCCTATCCTGCTGTGAGGGTTCTGCGGATCCAACCTGGATCCTCAGGGTTGATGACAAGGGCTTTTACCCACTGAGCCATCTCAGAGCCCCTGGTTGATTTTTAAGACCAGCTCCCTAGAGTCTCTTCTGTTCTCCTGGATGCCAGCCTTGGATGCCACATCTTAGAATAGCTTTGGTCTCCCTGGATGTGGCTAAGAGAGATCCTAGTTCCTCTTTGCTCCAGGGCTCAGCTTTGGCTTTGCATTTTTTATTTTCTCCTCTCCCAGCACCATCCCTCATAGTTGAAATTAGCTCCAAGAACTAAATATCCCAGAGCTTACAGTTAGCACATTAGTTCAATGTTCTAAAGATCGCAGTCACACCATGGCCCACCATGAATTCTTCCTGAGAACAATGGAATAGATGCCATTCAATCCTCTCCCAACTCCTCAAGCAACTGTAGAGGGCATCAACCTGAGGTGATCATTGAGCTACTCTGGGTCTCAGAGCCATCATTAAGAGTATAAATTCCAAGGATCATAATTCAAATAACATAACTAAGTTTTTAGCCTTCTGTGGGTATTTGTAGACTTTGATGTCAAACAGACCTAGGTTTAAATATAGGTTATAACACTATTACTATGTCTGAATGTTTTATCATTTATAAAATTAGGTAACCACCAACACACTGTTATGCAAATAAATTGAAGTAGACAAGGAAAGTGCTTGGTTCTAATGAAAGCGCAATAGGAGATGTTTGCTACTTTTTTTTTTTTTCAAGACAGGGTTTCTCTGTGTAGCTTTGTGCCTTTCCTGGAGCTCACTTGGTGGCCCAGGCTGGCCTTGAACTCACAGAGATCCACCTGTCTCTGCCTCCAGAGTGCTGGGATTAAAGGCGTGCACCACCACCGCCCGACTGTTTGCTACTCTTAATCTAAAACACTATTTTTTAAAATTCTAAGCAGAAG